CGATATTTGCGCATTATATTGGGAAAATTACATAGTTCCTTTAACTTGCGTATTCATTTCGGTTATAAAATTTTTATTTAGCAGTTGATACTAATTAAAAAAAAAAATCTAGCAGCCTATCAGGTAAAAGATGTTCCAAAAGAAATATGAGAAATAGTCAACTGTATTAATGGTGATACAGCGAAAAACTAATGTTTGTGTACACTCCGAAGACATTCTCATACGCAGGCTACGATAGAAATCTTTGAATATAATACCGATTTCACATGTCCTTATTTGGTCCAAAGATTAAACATAATTAGATCGGGCCGATGGTAATAACAACTGTGGCACAATAATAAATAATATGAATTTTCAGGTGCTTTGTTTCAAGTGTTCAAAATATGTATTTAGCGTAGAGAGGACGATTTCTTCAGCCAGATAAATAAATCACGCTAAGCCAGACCACATGAGACGTATACAATGCCCTAAAAGAAGACGGTGTCCGGAGATGCTTGGGCTATGCCAAAAATGGATATCTGTGGACTCTTTCATTTAATCTAATATTCAGAATATTATATGGTGAGACGTTTCCATTTTGTTTAGGTGTGTGAGGCAAGTGATTTCCTAATGTACCATTAAAGACGATTGTGATCGTAGTTATTTCCAATAATATCTAGCATCTTAAAATTAATGAACCTACGTAGCACAAGCTAGGGTGACTGAATTGACGAGGTTATGTAACATTGACAAGCCTATGTGGCAAATGTAGTTTTAGTGGCGAGAGTCGCCGGAGTAGTAGCCTGAGAGGCACCGATTGGCCTGTGAGGCACCGATTGGCCTGTGTGGCACCGACTGGCCTGTGTGGCACCGACTGGACCGAGAAACTTCTGTAAATTGTACTCAATGATAACTTCGTGTGTATAGTTTTTTAGGTTTTAGTCATTTTAAAGATTCAGTATTAACAAATTTGTCTTAAAGAAAACTAGTTAGGGAGAATGAATGATGTGAATCGCTGTATATTGTTAATATATAAAGCAAAAATTTGCCCAATACTCACTGTGTTAGGCACATTGGAATTTGTCTGTGTCTGTCTATGCCTGTCTGAGCGTACACTTTTGCACTAAATATCTACTGCACCGATGGCTAGTTTTAGTAAGTTTGGCCACCATGGTCAGTTATTTGGTCAGGAATAGCCGAGCTAATGTTACTTTTTCTATAGATCGATTTTCAATATCACACGAGGGCGCGTGAACAGCAGGACGGCCGTGGTAGAAGAAATAGCGGTGGTGAGTGCCCGACAAGATCACCCGAGGGCGTGTGAACAGCAGGACGGCCGAGACGGAGGAGGATTTAGTTACCTTTTTCTGTTATGAAACCTTATTATTGTTTAAAGTCACTATGTTCTTTAATTTACTTTTTATTAGTTTTAAAGTGATTTTAAATTTAGAGCAGAGATTTAGTCTCGAGCGGGGTCGAGACGCCATCACGACATTCTTTGCAGATACGTGGTGTAGTAAAGTCGGTTGATCTTAAAGAGTTATGTTTGATAGTGTAGTTGGAAGTCGATGATCGGTGACTGTGAACCCGCTAGCTCTAAATCATTAGAATTACCGTTTCAAGTTTATAACATTGTGACTTCCCTGATTAAATTGTGTATTGAGCACTGAATACTTTATTATTTGAGCCCTGATAACGCCCACAAGATGAGTAACCACCAAAGATGATGTTCGTAGTATATGGATAACACGACATATATATAAACTCTTCTGAAATACTTCCCTAAAATTCTTTTCTGTATTCTAATTTTCTAAACATACAAAAATACAACTCTCAATTTTATCTATTCCACAACAATAACACCCAATTAGTAGCAGTTCAAAAACCTAAATAAATAACACTGACCTTGTCCAGAGTTGAATCATTCGGCTGCAGTTTATTATATGGGACGCGGCCCCTGGAGGAGAGGGTGGTATTTTTGGATAGTGGAGGTGATAGAGAGTCCAAATACATAAATAATAATATATATATAATAATACATAAAATTATTTTGAGGAAACAAAAGAGTCAAAAGTTATTGAGACTTAAAGTTACAACATTTCCATACATTATTTAGACATTACTGCCATTCAGACACTTGGAAATATCAAAATGTCACTTACAATTGTCAAAAAGATCTCCAGATTATGTTTTGCCGTGTTTTTAATTATACTTTGCGTCAAATTTGAATTTTCTAGTTTTCTAGTCATGGTCTAGTGGTAACTGTTCTAACATAACCTAACCAAGATATGACGAATAATAAATAAATAACCTAAGTCTTAAACTAACCACGATGTCGCAAAATAAAAACCTAAAGTAAATAATACTTAGATTTTAAAAATAGTCTACTCACGTTTATAAATTATATTAATATAATCTGTTGTCATTTAAGCGGTAATGTAAAACAGAAATTGACAGTTGTCAAAATGTAGGATCATTTTGCTTACAATAGGTACTGTTGTGAAATTATTAAAAAAATAAATACAATAAAGCCTTAATTGTTGTGGAAATATGTATTGTACATAAAAAAGGATGTTTACTATTTGTTAAAGGTATGTTTATCTTTTGTAATCACATAGTTAGGTAAAGAAATGTATGGAAATGTATTAGATATGTTGTAACTTTAAGTCTCAATAACTTTTTACTCTTACGTTTCCTCAAAATATTTTTTATATATTTTGACTCTCTGTCACCTACCCTATCCAAAAATACTACCCACTCCGCCAGGGGCCGCGTCCCAAATATACTAAACTTGTGCCAATCATTCTGTGAATCATGGAGTTAATGAATAATTAGAAAAAATTATGCAAGCAATTAGTCTTTTTTATGCAATTGAAACATGAATATTTAAATAAAAGTACATATATACATATTTACATAAAATAAATATACTATGAGTAAGAGTAAATAAAACAAACATATGTTCAATCTCAAATAACATTATAACAATTAAAATTCCTTAGAAAGATTTTGTATATGATTTCTAGATCATTGATAACAGCATAACAGCAACAATTTGGTCTAGGGCAGCTGGAATGTAGGGCAAACTGTTGTGACCACACGGCTAAATTTCACTTTGTATCTAATGACAGTCAACTGTAATCTGTAAGATGTGCCGTATGCATAAATTAATACAATAGAAAAAGACTAATTATAAGTTCCAAAATTTAAACTTATTTTCCTATAGTCTTGTTAAAATATATAAGGAGTAATCAGTAAATTAGAAATAAATAAATGAAAATATACTTCCACTATAACTTTAAAATTGAAACATAAAATTATAGGGATATCAATTGACATTTTAAATAAAACAATTTATTTGGATTATTTTGTGGATTCATTTTAAGAAAGTATCAAAGTGACATATTTACTTTGTCTATTGTACTGAAAATTATCAGAACATAATAAACTAAGTATTTTTATGTACAGATTTCTAATCAATCAAATTGCATGACAGTTAATGTGTTTAAAGCATGTAACAGTAGCAGATTATAGGAAAAAAATGGATAAGGAATATATTTTCTAGATGACCAAGTAAGAAATAGAAACTAAAGTCATTGCCCCTTGTATGAATAAATTGGTATATTTTAATAATTATGATTTTACTTTTATACCATTAACTAGCGACTCACCCTTGCTTCGATCTGGTTTGATTGGTATGTTTTAACAATTAGTATGGAATAGATTATATCTCTTAACTTTTCTCTACTGTAATATGCATGTATTAACACTTAAATCTTCCAGAAGAAATTATCTAGATGATACTGAAAACCATATCAAAATCCATTCCGTGGTTTAGAAGAAGATGGAGAAACAGACAGACAAAACAGCGATTTAGCTTTATACCATGTATAGATTATAATAAATTAATATTATAATATGCATATTGATTCTGAAAATATTCATAGTCAAATGTAATTGGAAAGACACTATAACTTTGTAAATATTTCATGTGTTAGATAGCATTTTTAGAAACATGTGTTTACAATATTTATAACAACTAAGCAACTAAAGTAATAAAATCTAGAAAATAACTTTTCCTTTTGAATCAATAAAAAATCAATTTAGAAATTTTATGTTTATTATATTAATCTCTATTGTTTTACAAAAGAATTTCCTTCTATTTTAAAACAATATGGGGAAATAACAATACATTATTATAAACCTAAGCTATTTAAAAAAAAATAAAGGCTAAAACTGAATGGGACATTGTGTATAATTTCTACTTTACATAAAAATAAAAAAGACTACCATTAATGAAAATGTAAAATGATAACATTGCTTAAAAATTCAAAAGAAAAAGTTAAATAACTGATAACATTGCTATTGTATTGTATAACCAAGATTTGTTACTAAGTGTGTGGCAAAATTATTATGTAAATATGCTTTATAAGTGTTATAATGGTGTAACCAAAAACATAGATTGAACTTTCTGTTTCCGCAATTTATATTTTTCAAACTTACATTTTGTTCTTCCAATAACTTAGATGATAGTTGATAAGCAATGGCTGAGAACATTACTCCTGACTGCAGGAGGCACTGTTCACTATCAGTTCCATTATATATTATCACTGAATCAACTTCAAAACATACAAAGATAATGAATTATCCATATGCTCATAGAAATATAAAATCTATACAATTTTCTTGTATAATTGCAATTACAAAAACAGCACTATCCTCATAAAAACGAAGAAATTCTTGGGAAAATCAGTCACAGATGTGAGTCACAAGTTACTGAATCCAAGTCACCAGAGCTCATTGATCTAACCGAGTCTCATCAAGAGTCGGGCAATATCTATTTAACCGGGTCGTGGAGAGTGTATTTACGCGTGAGAACTGTAAGACTATGCGCGTGAAACTGTGGGAAAACGAGAGGCGTTGCCACTGTAGTAAACAATCACGTCACTCTACCTAAGTCCTAAATATGCCACAGTGCTTACAGGCGCTTCCATCAAATTAATAAAAGCATTGCGACTTACCCGTGTTTTGAATTGATTGCGACAATGTTTCTTTAAATGTTAGCTATTTTTTCTACTTTCGTTTACACAAAGTTCGCGACAAATCGTTTTCTAATCTTTTGAACAGTAATGTCGTATATCTGTCAAAAATGATTATGTCGGTGATCGGGGTATTTAGCTGGTTGCTGGCAAACAGCGACATCGTGTCTTAGAAGGTTATATGGAATTAAAAAAAAACAATGTTAAATTTTAAAAGTAATGTTTACTACTATTATTATACCAATTTATATATGAAATATAAAATAATTTTTTGATTCCTAATTTTGTAATATAGTTCTAGCAACAATTAGGAGTATTTGCATGTTCTTGTATTATGCATTGTACATCGTCCGTATTATTCATACAGCATACTTCTACGCTGGATTAGTAGATTCATGAATGGCATCTTTAAAAGTAATAATGTTTTAAAATCATTATGTTAGCATCCCTACCTATTTGTCGTATTGACATTTGATTTCAAAGCTTTAATGTCATCCATGTTTCAAAGTAAAAACGGCAATGTCATTGTCAATGTCAAGTTCCAATCAAAATATTTTGGATTTGTGAAATTGTTAAACATTGATTAAAATTTAGGAAAAAGTGAAAAATAATTTTAAAATAATGTCCGGTAGTAAACTGGACGTTATTTGGTCACCCATTCATCATGATAAGTTTATTGTATGGGGACAAGATATAACCTTATACGAAGTTTCTCGTCTTCAAGATATTGATAAAAAGAGTATTTGTGCGTATTGCATTTACCAACTGTATACTTTTCTATGATATATACTCTATTTATGTTATTACTTTATTGTACAGTGTACTACATATTTTTGTTTTAATTTTTATAATATACGCATTTGTTTCCAAATTAGTAATTACTATGTAAGCAGACACTATCAGTTGGAACTCATTATTTACTTTTACCAGCATTCATTGTTTAAAACATTATTTTTGTTGGCTGTAAAACATTTATTATAATACTTTCTTAGATTTACGCGAATACTTGACATTTTAAATAAAACTATCTTTTCGGATTTTTTCGCGAATTTATTTTGAATTTTGGTTCCCGACGTTTCGAATGCTTTACAGCAAACATGGTCACGGGAGAGACAGAGAGAGAGAGGAGAGACATTTATTATATTGAAACGAAGTATGTTCATATCAAGAACTAAAAAATAATAAATATCTTGATCAATGATATTTTGATTTTAAAATTTAATGTAAGACAAATATCAAGATATATTTGGTTTAATTGAAAATATGGTTTCCAGATACTCAATTATCGTCACAAAGTGGGGCAATAGTGGTAGCATCACAGAGTGGAAGTGGAGTTCGCTGTGTAGATATTAGTGCTATAGTTGACCAACCAGACCCTCTGCTGGCATTAGGGCATGCTAGTGGAAAAGTCACATTGACAAGTCTAAAACAAACATATGATCCCTTGGGTCTAGTGGGCCGAGAATTTGGTATGGTTATAACTTAAATTATATAATTATAAAATATTTTGGATTCTAATAATATATATATATATAAAACATTGATAAGTAAATTTTTATTATATAATATTTCCAAACTATGTTGTAATTGTTGTTGTAAAAGTTGTTTTTTTTTGTCATAAAAGATATAAATACTGAGTATCATAAAAATACAATTACTGTGTTTTATTATTTCAGTGGCAAAGTTCCCCCGGCCATGCAATTCAATATCATGGAGCAAATCAGAAACAAACCTAGTAGCTGTGGGAATGGAAAAGCATAGAAATGATCACTGTATATTGCTATGGGATGTCAACACCTATGGATCAGATGAGTATGCTGGTAATTAAATTTAAATATTAAATTTAACTATAAACTCTTAAATTAAAATAATTTTTGTATATATAGAAACAACCTTGCTTAGTACAAAATATAAAATAGAAGTATAATTTAAAATACCATTCTACATTTCTGTGTTGAAAATATGAATAAAAATATTATTCAATTTTTTTATTTTGATTCATAGCTGAAAACTCTCCACCCTCTGTGACATCACCTGCCCACCCAATCGCAGAAGTAGGTCTTGGTGAGACAGCGCACACAGTGGGGTGGTGTAGCTTTTCACCCAGAACCCTTGTTGCATCTATGAATTTGAAACACATTAAGATCTTCGATCTTAGAGGTAAGGATGTCAAAGATTTTAAAAACTGAAGCACAAGTTCGATCCTATAGGATACATTTAGTGTTATATAAGTTTCCTATATTTTAATACTAGATTTATATTTTTTAAATAACATAATAATTTTCTTTGCCTAGTTTTGTTCACGAAAATATTGAATGAGCTAAAATTTGCCTTTGGATATTTTATCTCTTGTGTATATTTGGTACACAGCTCCTACATTCAAATTGATCTGGAAAAACATAAGAATGTAATAAACTTATGTTTACCCATCAGACATTATAAATTATGTTTCTTATATATGGCAATCCTACTGATATATTAACATGAAAGGTTGTGAGGATGTATGTTTGTTACTAATAAACGCAAAATCAACTGAACAAATTTTGATGAAACTTTATAATAATGTAGCTCAAACAGGAAAGTAATACATAGGCTATAGTTTATAAATATATAGTGGTACATAATTGCACCGTGCGGTGTGTCAGAGGGATACTCGCGCAGCAGCAGTATGACGAGCAGCCGGCAGTGCCTGGGCGTGGCGGGCGCGCCGGCGGGCTACCGGCTGGCGTCGCGCGGGGACGCGGGCGCCGCCGTGTGGGACGCGCGCGCGCTGCGCCGCCCGCTGCTGGAGCTGCCGCTGCCGCGCCCGCCGCGCCGCGTGCTCTGGTGCCCCTCCAGGTACCGGCCTTAGCCCTTACTAATATCACACATTACAAATGCATGCAGTCAAAGATTGATTTTGATTTTGACGGAAATGCAGCCAAATGCAAGGGTTGTCAAATAAAACAATTTTAATGACGTATTTACTGTACAACATACAGTTATATTCGTCAACCCTATAGACTTTTCCCGACTGTCATGCAAAAATTAGTATAACAGTCGGGAACACCTCGCCTACGACTCCCCGTACGTCCCGCATAATGGAGGCTACCGCGGTTGAAATCCCCGCGAGAGGACGCTAGTGTAGACTAAGACTGCTTGTGAGGTTTTTGTCGCGAGTTTTCACTAATATCCATGATTATTCAACAGATCGCGCCATTCCTGATTAATTATAGCAAACAAGTATGGCACAATAAATCTTATTGGCTTAAAATGCGAGTTAAGGAAAAATCCTGTTTTTTAATTTCCCTCAATTTTCCATATAGACAGTGCCGGATTCAATCTTACCGTTGCCTCTGAGCATAGTAAAAAATGCCCCCCAATTATCGAAATTTTGCATAAAATGGGTAAAGTTTCTATAAAGTATTTTTTTAAATTTTAATTTTTTTTTTCAAAAATGCAAGAAAACTAATTTATCCAAATTTTCATTTTTTCGAAAAAGTAGGTACTAACTACTAGTATAGTTTTTATTTAATTAATATTTTTTTGGAAAATAAAAAAAGCATTTTCGATAACGCGAAGAGAATTTTTTCCCTCCCTCCGTATTTTGCCGCCCTGGGCACTAGCCCCGAGTGCCCCTATTGTAAATCCAGCGCTGCATGATACAGATTAATAATTATAAGTGCATTACAAAATGACTTACTATACTTATTATCTTTAGCTTTGAGTTGTTCCCGTGGGATCTAGAACGATGGATTAAATAATCAATTTTAAAGCATGTTTCACTTTTAATAATGCACACGTTGTTGGTAACCCGTAGGCCCAACCTGCTGATCTCGCTGCAGCGCGACTCGGGCTCGCTGCGCCTGCACGACATCCAGCAGGCGCATGACTCCTCGCTGCAGCACTCCTTCGAAAGCGTGGTGACTTGTTTATACTTATATATCATATTATTATTTTTTTCAATTCATCAGTTGCTATTATACCGTCGAATATGTTCAAGTTGCACTCACTTAGTTAAGAATAATAATAATAATAAGTATTTTTTCACAATAGGAAATGCAAACACAACACAAAATATGTGAACTGTATGGGCCAGTACATAATATTTGTCGCATAAGCACATTACGCCATACTACGTAGATAGAGGCTGTTTAGTATAAGAATAAAAATAGTTTATATGTTTTTAACTAGATGGCGTTACCGGTTCTCTGAATCACGCTATGGTTTGGTTCTGCTAATTACTATAAGTAAAATCTTTTTTGGTGAATAAATTGTCTTCGCTCATATAGTTGTTTTACTGTGACTCAATTATATAAGTGGTTTAGAAGTTTGTACATGGTCCTTCGAGCCGGATATACGACGCGCGACCGAGTGTCAGTGAAGTGAGAAGTACCGAGTGTTCGCACCCACGGGCAACGGATTGTTGTCAAGGGCGAAGCCGGAGCTCCTGAGGTGAAGAAGCAGAAGTCTCTGGTGAACAAGCGACAGGCCTGAAAAAATCCTTCAGCACGAGTGACTACTGCCAATGGGTGGCAACTACCGAAGTGACGTATACAAGAGATTAGTGGTGTGAGTTAAGTAAAGTGCACGGAAACTGTAAGTACTTTTATTTTATATTAAAATCAGTGGTGATAGACACTTTAAAAATTAAATTCATTAAAATTTGCGAAAATAAGTTGAAGTTAAAATATGGACTTAGAATAAATTTAAGAAAAGTGACAATACGGGGAACCTATGCCCGATTTTAGTGCCGTGTAAAGGTGATACCAAACACTTGTAAAATTTAAAACTTTTTTTTTTTTGGACTTAAAATTTTCATTAAAAAAAATAAAAATAAAATAAAATTTAAAAATGGAATCTTTGATAAAGGTGCAATATAATTGTAATAAAACTATAAATAAAGCAAAAATAAATTTCAAAAAATCACCTAAGGAACGTTTAACTCCTTCTTATATTGAAACACGACTCGAGGCTTTGGAATCACAGTGGTCCGTATTTGTGGAAAATAATAATAAACTTATTGCAAACTATGATTTGGATAGTACGGATTATTACAAGAGTGATGTGTTTGAAATTACAGAAGAATTATATTTTGATTATAAGTCTGAATTAAAGGATGTTTTAAAGAGTTTGGTCCGTAAAGAAGAGTGTACATTGAAAGTAGCTAAAAAAGAAGAACAAAATATATGCAATGTTAAATTACCAAAAATATCATTACCTATATTTTCTGGTAACTATAATGAGTGGATTAGTTTTCGTGACTTATTTTTGTCTCTTATTCATAATAATAATAATTTAGATGATGTTCAAAGATTACAATATTTAAAGGGCCATCTCACAGGCGAAGCTGAAAAATTATTACGTTATGTACCTATTACATCGGATAATTACAGTACTTGCTGGACACAGCTAGAACATAGATATAATAACAAAAGATACCTAGCAAATTGTATTTTGAGAAGGCTTATTAATCAAAAGAACATTACAGTAGAAACTTCTAATACTATTAAGGAATTATTAGACACCACTAACGAATGTTTAAGTGCTTTGAGAAACTTGGATATAGATGTCAGTAGTTGGGATGTTATCATTATTTATATGATTAGCCAAAAACTCGATCCACAGTCCAGAAAGGAATGGGAACTCTACATAGGAGATGTTTCACAAGAATTACCTAAACTAAGTCAATTTAATGATTTTTTGGAACATAGATATAGGGCATTGGAGTTTATAGATCCAAAAATGAATAAACAATACACTCGTAATAATGATATAAAGGCACTTCATGTCTCAAATGCAATCTCTTGTGGTTATTGTTCTGGAGACCATAAATTATATAATTGTAAAAAGTTTGCTAATGAAGATGTTCACTCACGTCGTAATTTTGTCCAACTTAAAAGGTTATGTTTTAATTGTCTCGGACTGAATCACTCGGTATATTCGTGTCGACAGTCTACCAGATGTCGTATATGTAAGAGAAAACACCATTCTCTTCTGCATACTACGGAACCTTCTAAATCAGATGAGGAGATCAAAGCTGTTAAGTCGGTTAGGGAAGTTTCATCAACCTCCTCACAAAGCGAGACCGATAATGTAATTTCTTGCCATTCAAATATTTTTAGCCAAGTTTTACTTGCAACTGCTATGGTAAAAATTAAGGCGAGGAAAGGTAATTTTATACTGTTTAGATCTTTATTAGATCAAGGATCGCAGGCGTCATTTATTACTGAAGCTGCAGTCCAAATGTTAGGGTTAAGAAAAATACCTAATAGGAGTATCATATCAGGGATAGGTGGAGAGGAAGAATCTAAACTTTCTTCAAAAGCGATGGTAATAGTAAATATACAGTCTCGCACTAATCCTAATTTTATTATCACGGTTAAGGCTCATGTTCTGAGTAAATTGACCGCTCTTCTTCCAGAGAAAAATGTCACAGTGGAAATGATTACGACACTTTCGTCTACAGAGTTAGCAGATCCGTCATTTAATATTCCAAATAAGATAGATTTGCTACTAGGGGCAGATGTTTATGGCCAGATATTGTTAGAAGGTATAGTCAAAGGTCCTCCGGGCACTCCTATAGCGCAAAATACTCAGTTCGGTTGGATCTTATCAGGCCAAGTTCTTAATAGAAATATTCAAAACGGGTGTCGTATTATAAGCATGCATAGTAAATTGAGTGATGTTAATGAATTACTCAAGAAGTTTTGGGAACTTGAAGCAGAGCCAAATAACAATGTTAAAATTCTTACTAAGGAAGAAAAAAAATGTGAATCCATTTTTCAGAAAACTACCAGAAGGGATGCCACAGGACGTTATATTGTAAATCTACCTTTTAGGAATGAGGATCCAACCTGCAAGTCTGGTGATTCAAGAGAAATCTGTCAACGACAATTTTTAAGCCTAGAAAGACGTCTCTTAAAAAATCCCGATTTAAAGGAAAAGTATTCATTAGTAATGGAGGAGTATTTAAGTTTGGGTCACATGGAAGAAGTAAAATCTGGGAGAAATAAAGATGCAGTTTACCTTCCACATCATGCCGTTGTCAGGGAGGACAAAAGCACCTCTAAGGTCCGGGTGGTCTTCAATGCGTCATGTAAGGATAGCAATGGCGTCTCGTTAAATGATGAGTTATTAGTCGGTCCATCCTTGCAACCAGAATTAAGACATTTAATCATGCGATGGCGTTGCCATCCAATATGCCTAATCGCGGATATTATCAAAATGTACCGCCAAATAAAAATTTCGGAAGAACATGTTGATTTTCAACGTATTCTTTGGCGCAAGAACCAAAATTCAGAGCTGAAGCATTATAGACTTTTAAGAGTTACCTTTGGTACATCTGCAGCTCCTTATTTGGCTGTAAAAAGCATGCAACAGTTAGCTCACGATGATGGTCAAGAATATCCTTTAGCTGCTGAACGAATTCTAAAGGATTTCTATATGGATGATTTAATGAGCGGTTGTGAAAACGTTAGCGAAGGCTTAAAAATATACAAAGAGATGAATGAGTTACTTGGCCGTGGAGGATTTCAATTACAAAAGTGGTCTAGTAATAGTGCAGAATTACTGGAACAATTAAGACAAAACAATGCTTCGAAAGATAATTTAGAATTTAATATTGATGAAATGTTTAAAATTTTAGGTTTAGGATATAACAGGAAAACCGATGAGTTTGAATATAAAGTCCAACTACCTCCACTGGATCAACCAATAACTAAAAGAAAAATCATCTCGGATATAGCCAGATTATTTGATCCACTCGGCTGGCTGGCTCCTGTTATAATTAAAGCTAAGGTGTTCATACAAAGAACTTGGCTCTCAGGTATCGATTGGGATGAAGAACTTCCACCACAATTGTTGAAGGATTGGATATCATATCGTGCAGCCTTGAGAGGACTTACCAACTTTCGTCTGCCGCGTTGGATAAATTCGAAGCGTGATGATAAATGTATCCAATTACACGGGTTCTCCGATGCTTCCAGTGAAGCATACGCTGCAGTCGTATACGCACGTATTGAAGATAATGAAGGACGAATACATGTTAGTTTACTTACCTCAAAATCTCGTGTTGCACCGATAAAGCAAATTTCCATCCCACGCCTTGAACTATGCGGAGCTGTGTTGCTCGCGAAGCTTCTCGATGAGGTCGCAGGAACGCTGAAAATTCCAAAACAAAATCTTTATGCTTGGTCTGATTCACTGGTAGTACTAGCTTGGATAAGTAGCCATCCCAGCAAATGGAAAACGTTTGTTGGGAATAGAGTGGCAGATATACTTACCATTTTAGACAGTACCCAGTGGTCATTTGTACCGTCTGAGGAAAATCCAGCTGACTGCGCATCCAGGGGGGTCCAACCTGATGACTACAGCAAACTAGAACTCTGGAAAAGAGGACCGGACTGGTTAAAAGAAGCAATAGTTAACTACGATAGAAGCAAAATAAAGGAAACTACGTTAGAAATGAAAATATCTAAAATAGCATGTCATGTTACTACACATAATGAAGAAAATAATATTTTGTCAAAATTTTCATCATTAAAAAGGTTAACTAGAGTCGTAGCATATTGCAAAAGGTTTTTGAAAACAAAAAGCAAGGATAATTTTAAAGCTACAGCGTCTCTAACTACAGAGGAAATAAATAAAGCGTTACTTACCTGCATTCGTCTATGTCAGATTGAGCACTTTGAAGATGAAATAATATGCCTGAAAGAAAAAAGACAAATTAAAAAGAATAGCAAACTTACCTCATTAAATCCCATGATAGATAGTGATGGCATACTGAGGGTTGGCGGAAGATTGCATCGCTCTTCTGTGAATCACGATATGATGCACCCAATTCTTATACCACATAAATCTCACTTTACTAACCTTATCATAGCGGAAGCTCACCTTTTAACACTGCATGGAGGACCTCAAATGACACTTAATTGCCTAAGAAGTAAATATTGGATTCTCAATGCAAGAAGCGCTGTAAGACTGTTTATACAGAAATGTATAACTTGTGTTCGTTATGCTGCACAGCCAACCAATCAATTGATGGGTCAGCTGCCAGAAGCTCGAGTCAGGGCTTGTAGACCTTTTCTACGATGTGGTGTAGATTATGCAGGTCCAATCAGCGTAAGACCAACCAAAGGCCGAGGTTATCATACCACTAAAGGATACATTTGTCTCTTTATTTGCATGGCAACCAAAGCTGTGCATTTAGAAATTGTTAGCGACATGACGTCTCAAGCATTTTTAGCCGCCTTTAAACGATTTGTAGCTAGGAGAGGCCATGTTTCCGAAATATGGAGTGATAATGGTACGACATTTGTTGGCAGCGCAAGGGAACTAAAGATACTTTATGACAAGGAAAGATCGAGCATAATACCAGAAATCGTTGAATGGCTTGAAAATAATAGCACTAAGTGGCATTTTATTCCTCCTCACTCTCCAAACTTTGGAGGACTATGGGAAGCCGGGATAAAATCCACCAAGCACCATCTGAAGCGAGTTGTGGGCAATAGTACGTTGACATTTGAAGAAATGACAACAGTGCTGTCGCAAATAGAAGCATGCCTTAATTCGAGACCGATTTCTCAAATTAGCAGCTATCCAGAAGATCCAAGGCCACTAACACCAGGACATTTTTTAGTCGGTGAACCTCTAATTCTTGTGCCTGAAGTTAATTTTGAGGAGGCATCGATGAGTAATCTTACTCGTTGGCATTTGACTCAGCGAATAGTCCAAGACTTCTGGCGTAGATGGTCACACGAATATCTGACTCAGCTTCAACATCGTTATAAATGGAAAAATACCACGAATGAACCGAAGGTTGGAGACGTTGTCCTAGTTAAGGAAGACGATCTTCCCCCTTCTCGATGGCTATACGGCTTAATAGTAGAGAAACATCCTGGTTTGGACAAATTTACACGTGTAGTGAGTCTTCGATGTAAAAATAATGTAATTAAAAGACCTATTTCTAAACTCATTATTTTACCTATTGCTACATAAATTATTATTATAAGTTATAGTAAAATCTATCGTGCTTGTTTAAATATTGAAAAATATTGAATGTTCATAGTTGATAAGTTTATTGGTACATAACTCGTTTGTTTAAGATTACAGTCCATTAGAAGTGTTAAGTTAAGCAGTTATTTTATATTGTTTTTGTTTTTTGTTTAACAATATTGTTGATTTTTGTTATGTTAAGATGAACTTTCGTCCATGGTGGGCGGAATGTTTAGTATAAGAATAAAAATAGTTTATATGTTTTTAACTAGATGGCGTTACCGGTTCTCTGAATCACGCTATGGTTTGGTTCTGCTAATTACTATAAGTAAAATCTTTTTTGGTGAATAAATTGTCTTCGCTCATATAGTTGTTTTACTGTGACTCAATTATATAAGTGGTTTAGAAGTTTGTACAGAGGCAATATATATTTCAATTAATGAGTCCGAAAGGCAGTGTTGCAGCAGTCGTCGTGCGCGCTCACGGGTCGTTCTATCATTCTATCATTAAGTGTCGCAGTCGCCGTCGTGCGCGCTCACAGGTCGTTCTATCAATAATATCATTCTATCATAAAAGTACATTTAATATACAATTAAGTTAATCTTGGACTATCATTTACTACATCAATAATTCCTATCAGTATCAATCACTATCAACCAAAGACTGTAGGGGTCTTCGTCTCAGCCCGTACATCAACAATACAAATCTATTCACAGAGCTTTCAATTCATATTTAATTCTTAAAAATATGCAAATACAAATCGTATTTTATTTAATTTAGTAAAAATTAAAATAGAATCATCTACACATATAATAAAATTGTAACCAAGCCAAATCTGTACATTAAATATTTTTTGGTAAATCTTATTGAAATAGTCATTATTATTGATACAGATACAAATTATATATATTTATATATAATAAAAATAGCCTTTGTCTCTAAGTCTGACCAGCAAATTGTCATAAGTAATAAATTATTTGAAATTCATTCGATAATCAAGTCATCAAGTGAAATTAACTTAACTTTAACTAAAAAAGTGTTTTTGCAAGTTATATGAGGTTTAAGATTCATTGTTTATTTCTCAAAAAAATACAATTCACTTATATGATGCAAGTTATAGTAGTACTATAACTAGGATAAATCCTCGGGTTTGCCGCTAAGTACATTTTGACGCTTAGTATGGAATAGACTATATTATATACATTATACATATGATGAGTTTTTTATCCCTTAAGCCTAGTTCGCATTAAGCTAGTATTTTAGTCTAGTAGCGAGTAATTTAGTAGCTAAATTACTCGCTACTCACCAAAAATCGTTCGCACTTTGGTCGAGTACAATTTACAAGTGAGTGGTGTTTTGCAAGATGAACAGCCTACAACGCAATAAAGTAAATAAAGTGACTAAGCTGATCGTAATTATACCGTTCTAATTAATTAATTAAATAAATACATAAATATGCTTTTGAAATAAAGTAATGAAAAGTAACCTGATGTTTTTAATTTTCATTTTAATTTCTTTTTCGCCAAATCCGGGTACATTCATTATTTTTTTCAAATCTAATTATGCGGAATGTTTCATTATGCTTGTTTTTATAATGCAAGGACCTAATATTCCACAAGCATTCGTGTTCAACATATTTCGAAACAAATTTAAAAGTCATTTCTTCGCTCCAGCGAAACGACATTATGGCGGCAACTAATGAACTCGACTAATTCGACAGGTTTGTACTTGTTTAGCCGGTGAACCAGTGAGCTCGGACGCGTGGTGGGGGCTGCTATTCGCCCAAAGAAATAGAATAAAATGGATTGACTCGACTAAATGACTTACTAAACTAATCGACTAAATTTTTAGTGTTCAGACACGTTTAGTTACTAAATTACTCGCTACTAGACTAAAATACTAGCTTAATGCGAACTAGGCTTTACTTGAAAATGATGGATTTCCCATACAAACTTCCACTACCCTTTTCACCCATTTCAGAGGATGATTTCCGGGATTTAAACTATAGTATGCCCTTCCCAGGGTCTCAAACAATCTCCATTCCAAATTTCATCGAAATCGGTTTAGCGGATTAAGAGTAAAAAAAAAAATAGACAAACAGTAACTTTATTTATAATATATGCATGGTGGGCAGGCGTCGGCCACCGCCGCGGTGGAGGAGTGCGAGCCGGAGGAGGAGAGCGGCGTGCTGGAGCGCGACGTGGCCGTGAGCGCGGTGCCGCTGGCCGCCTTCGCCTGCCACCCGGCGCGCCGCGCACTGCTCGCGCTCACCGTCAACGGTACGCCGTACGCTTCACACTATACACTGCAGGCTGCAGCCAGCACCTACTTTACACTCTACATTACTTTAATCCTATCTTTTAAGTGGGAACAGATCACACGTTTTGGAAAAGACACGTTAAAATCGGATAAGTAGTGTTGGAATTCACCCTGGACCAACATCTCGGTACAAAAAATTATATCTTAACATTTTGGAATATAAAAAATCAAATAAAATTTTTGGTATCAAGACAAGAGTACCAGGCAATTTTAACTATTGCGGAAGTGTATGTTTTAAGAAATTCATGTTCACTCTGCGTGTGTGCAGGCCTCGTTTCGATGACTTTCAACATGAATAATGTACGTTACACGATAGTTGATGCTTATGATACCCCGGTCGGTACTCGTGGCAATGTTTATGAGCTAATTTTTGAGCCGCTAATTTATGAAGTTTGTTCTTAACGGGTGTGCTATATATGACAACGAAATACTCTATTATCTATCGAATAAAAATGCGTGCGCAGGCGCGCTGGTGGAGCAGGCGGTGACGGAGCGCGCCACGGTGGCGTGGGGCGCGGGCGGCGCGCTGGCGTGGGCGGCGGGCGGCGCGCTGCGGCGCATGGGCCCCGCCTTCTACGCCGCCACGCGCGACATCTCGCAGGTGGCGCGCGCGCGCGCGCTGCGGGACTACGGCCTCAAGGTGCGCGGCAAGCGTCAGTACTGACGTCACCTACGATATTCACTTCAGAATGACGAGTATTTTTTTTCATTCGTTGTTATCCAAATAATTTTATAATTTCTTATGAAAATAATTTTATGACATATCTCACAAATTACGTTATGTTGAATATACATAGAATATTATAACATATAATATTCTATGCATATTCAAATTCAACAAAATAATTTTCGTCGCAAATCGAACACTAGCTTCTTTTTAATTAAATTTTATACCCTATACTTTATAAAATAGTCCATCTATTAGCACATAAGACTATTTCCTTTATTTTGGCTTTAGAACTCTAAAGAAATAATAGCGTTTATTTCTAGCCTGATCTGTGGCAAAACGCAGAACTCGCCGACGACGAGGCCGTCAGCGGACTGTGGCACTTCCTCGCGCTCAGCAAGTCGCTCGTCGAAGATGGTGACTATCTATCATACTAACGTATTATTAATTACGTCAATATTAGGTAATTTGAGATTGGGTAGTCCAGATACATCGAACAAGCTGGACAGCTTTATAATACTTACAAACAGGACTTCACTTCTTAGGACCATGGCCTCCCAAACTGGTGGTAAACTATTGAAGTTCAGTAAATATTGCAGTAATTTAAAAATGAAAAAAAAATAATAATTTGAATTCATTGTTGATATTTATCTAATAAGTTTACATCTAGGTAAAAGATGTGTATAACAAATGAGGTACTAGTGTGGTGATAGGTAGCAAAACAAACAACTGTCTCCTTACAATAAGGGGACTTATTACTGCCCACTAAACAAACCTTGGAATACCTACTTGTAGATGTACTTGTTATACTACTGGTAGGAGGGAGGCACATACCACTACTCTATTTCCCACACTATTAAAAGGAATAAATTTATAATGGACACGCACATTGACAACATTTGTTTTTCGTAAACGAAGAATTATGTTTCTGTTCGCGCACGCAGGCTGCATCCGCAACAGCCCCACCAAGCACCCCGGCGTGAAGACCGTGCTGCGCTCCCCCGGCGAGGGCTACCGCTCCGAGCCTGTGGCCACGCTGCTGCCCGACCTGCCCGCGCGCAAGGTCACCACCTACCGCTCCGCCGAGCGCACGCGCGCGCTGCAGCTGTGCGGCTGGGGCTGGGGCTGGGACAGCGCCGGCGCCGGCGTGGAGCGCGCCGAGGCCGAGGGCGCGCCAGCGCGCGCCGCCGCACTCGCCGCCTTCCACCTGCGCCTGCGCGCCGCCGTCGACGTGCTGGCACGCGCGCGCGAGCCCGCGCTGCGCGTGGCCGCGCTGGCGCTGGCGCCCGCTGCCGCGCCTCCCGCCGCCGCCGCCGCCGCGCCCGACGAGCGCCTGTGGCGCGACGCGCTGGCCGCCGCCGCGCCCGCGCTGCCCGACGCCTACCTGCGCGCGCTGCTGCACTTCGTGGCCGCCGCGCTGCCCGCCGCGCCCGCCGCCGCGCCCGACTACACCGCCGTGCTGGCCGAGACCGGCATGCGGCTGGAGGACCGCGTGGCGTTCGCGTGCGTGTACCTACCCGACGGCAAGCTGCACGAGTACGTGGCGCGCACGGGCGAGGCGCTGCGCGCGCGCGGCGCGCTGGGCGCGCTGCTGCTGACGGGCGTGGGCGCTGAGGGCGTGGGTGCGCTGCAGCGCTGGCTGGAGCGCAGCGGCGACGTGCAGACGGCGGCGCTGGTGGCGGCGCGCTGCGCGGGCGCGGAACTGCTGCGCGACGAGCGCGTGGCGGGCTGGCTGGCGGCGTACCGCGCGCTGCTGGACGCGTGGCGGCTGTGGTGGCCGCGCGCGCTGCTGGACAGCTGGGTGGCGGCGGCGGGCGGCGCGGCGGCGCGCGAGGGCGCGGGCGCCGGCGTGGCCTGCACCTACTGCGGCAAGCCCGTGGCGGCGGCGCACGCGCGCCCGCGCCCCGCTTTCGCGCGCCTGCCGCCGCCCGCCGCCAAGATGAAGGTACGCCGACACCTCACACCATACACTATACATTCACCTCCCTCGTTCTATGTATTGTCTTGTCCTGTCAAGTCAAAGAAATAAATTTGTAAACATTACTATTAGGATATATTTAAAATACCTTAAGTATAAAAAAAACGATTTTTATAAACTTAATAAAAAATATTTAAAACTAAAAATAGATCGAAGTTTTTAAACACCGCTGTTCAAACTAGCCTAACCTAACGAATTTGTCGCGTTCCATCATATCGACTTTGCCACGCATATTTTGTACTTTTAAATAATTCATAAATGTATACAATAAAAAAAATTAGAGATGTAATTAGAGATGTTTTTAAACATTTGACAAAAAAATAAGAAAAAGTAATAGCGATACACATATTCTATTATGGTGTAATCACATAAATAGTTAAATATGTATATAATTGCAGCAAATATCGTCGTGTCCGAACTGCCGCAAGCCGCTGCCGCGTTGCGGCGTGTGCTCGCTGCACCTGGGCACGGGCGCGGTGGGCGTGACGGCGCTGGCGTCGCCGCCCGCGCCGCCCGCCCTGGCCACGCCGCCCGGCGCCCCCGCGGGCGGCGCGCCCTTCGGCAGCTGGTTCAGCTGGTGCGTGGCGTGCCGGCACGGCGGACACGCCGCACACCTGCTGCAGTGGTTCAGGTCGATGCACATATACATACATTGATTTAGATCTTCAAAAAGACGCGAGAGTTCAACATCACCATCAGACAGTAGGCCAGGTTGGGATACTCTGCGCTTTAGGTACGAAGCTCTGTAGTGCACGTACATATATTATGTAGCCATTGATGACATGTTATTTGCCGAGATTATAATAATAGCTCACTATAATAGTTGGCAACAGCACTGTGCAAACCAAATTCCACTTTATTGTTTCCTACCAATTCAAAGCGATTCGCAAAGATATCTTTATAAAAATATAGTTTAAACTATACAGCAATGTATGTTAATGTATATATAATGATCCCGCAGCGAGCACTCGGAGTGCCCGGTGAGCTCTTGCACGTGCCGTTGCGCCGCGCTGGACCCGCCCGACCCCGCGCCGCCCGCGCAGCCGCCGCCGGCGCCGCCCGCGCCGCCCGCGCCGCCCACGCCGCCGCTCGCCGCGCCCTCGTTACACCTCTAGTGTTCGACCGTTCTAACTTCTAACCAATTAGCTTTTACATCGATTAAAAGAATGACATACGCTCAGTATATGACGCCTCCATTAACTATACTCGGAGATGTAATTAAAGATCAGAAATGTTAACTTAAAGTATTGCCAATTCGAAACAATGACCTATAGTCCATTCGCGTTAAGAAAATAGTGAGTCATCAAGTACAACGACAGGTAAATGTGTATACAAAGTGGGAGTAAAAATTCAATTCAAATTCAATATTTCAAAAGATTAAGTTTAATGGATAAAGATCAACTAAATTATCTTACTTATCTCAAATCTTGATTTGAGATGATAATAACTTTATTTTGACTTGAGATAGTTAATGAACATAATTATCTCAAATCAATCAAAAAGTCTGCCTTCAACTGGTCATCTATACTTATATTATAAAGAGGTAAAGTTTGTGATCTTGTGAGTTTGTGAGTTTGTGACGTAGGGGGTAATCTCAAGATCTACGGAACCGATTTTTAAAATTCTTTTACCAATAGAAAGCCACGTTCTTTCTGAGTGTCATAGGCTATATATTAACCCGAAGAATGAAAAGGCTTTTTCGTGGTAGTCGGATTTGCAAAGTAAGTCGGAGAAAAAACGGTGGAACGAAAACGTTTCTTACGAACGCTGCCTTAACGATGAGAGATATATGATTATGTTTTAGAGAAAAGTTGTAGAGCTTAATAATGCCTACAAAAAAGTCATCGACAGCATATGTCTAACTTTTATATTTAAGTCACAAAAAGTAGTTTTTTATATTAAAAAAACAATTTAAATCTTTAGGTCATGTTTATTGGTCATATTATCAACAATTATGAGTTCTTATCAAAATAAGCAAATTAATCGTCTAAAATGTTTAAAACAAAAGACTTTTCCCTTTTACTGCATATAATTTGGACAAATGGTTAAAGAGATAATACAACATATTCGTAAGTATGGACGAACCCGAGCGAGCTGTTTGTCTATTTTTCTCTTTGTACGGGCTAATCTCCGGTTCTATTGGACCTATTTAAATGAAATTTTGCGTGGTGGTATCTTATATCCCCGGACAACATCTTAGATACTTTTCATCCCGGAAAATTAAAGAGTTCCCGTGGGATAGTTAAAAATCTATAACAACTTATACAGCTTAGTACACAAAAACTACTGATTGGATTTTAATGAAACTTTACAATAATATAGTTCATACATGACAAAAACGAATCAGCTACTTTTCATCCCGGAAAATTAAAGAGTTTCCGTGGGATCGTCAAAAATCTATAGTAACTTATACAGCTTAGTACATAAAAACTACTGGATATAAAAACTAAAAACGACTTGGATTTTGATGAAACTTTACAATAATATAGTTCATACATCAGAATAACAAATAGGTTGCTTTTTATCCCGGAAAAATGTACTTTTCCCGTTCGATAGATGTTTTTGTTTTTTTGTAACGTATTATGTACACAACATAAACCCCAAAACAATAGTTATTAAAAAAATTGTCTGTTTGCCTGTATGATAACTTATTACTCGAGTCAACATTTATGGTACCTTTTGTATGTATGTATGTATGTTGTATTCAGCCGTTTTTAACGTACCACTGCTGGGCACGGGCCTCCCTTCAGTACGAGGTGGATCAGGCCATAGTCCACCACGCTGGCCAAGTGCGGGTTGGTGGACTTCATATATCTTTCGAAAACTTGCTAGGTTCTGTTAGACATGCAGGTTTTCCTTCACCGTTCAGACAAGTGGTAATTGTGTTAGAAATGATTCGCACATGAAAATATCAGAGGTGCGAGACCCGGGATTTGAACTTGCTTCACTCGGTTTTCCAAGCGAGCGCGTTACCACTGGGATACCACTGCCTAGATACCTTTTACTTAAAGAAAATCTTCCTTTCCCACGGGATAATACAATAACTGGTTTTATCGAGTCCTCCCTAGAAACCTTCTGCTGGCTAAGCCTTAAGACTTACATACATCAAAATAATATACTAAAAAATTGTAGGTCTTGAAAAGTCCTTCAGAAAAATTCTGAATAGTATATGTCTATCTTCTAAGTTACACTCGCAATATTTATTCTTATCTATACCTATAATAAAACTTAGTCAAATCGATGTGCGCGTTTCACGCAAAAAGTAATCACCCGATTTTAACTTTGAACTTAGGGGGCCGTTAGATACATCCCCCGGGCTTCTAGCCCAGACTGAGTGACCTCCATTTTTGTGTGTAGACATTATATTATGTTTTTTATATTATTTTATATTTTTAGTGCTCCATTAATTAGTTTTACGAAGTAACTATATACTTAGTAAATAAAAATTTACGACTTCGTTATATATTTATATTTTATAGTATAGAATAGAGAAACTATTATATTTTAAGTATAAAGCAAGTTTTAAATCTTCAACTTACTGTATTCAATGCAAACAGCTCTCAACAAATATAATTATAATCAAGTAGTCGTAGATCATTATTACTTTCATACTTGAAAATTAAAAGGCCTTTAAAATACGCCTTGAATAGTAAGTGCTTAGTTAAATAAAGGTATAAACGTTCTATCAAAAGGACCTCATAAATGACTCTTCAAAATATTCTTTGTTAGAGTTTTACTAAGTAAAATGAAAAGCCCACCAGCGTTTGACCATAGCTTTGGCCCGCCATGTCGTTCTTTTCTTGACCAAATTGGATCTAAGAGGGGATTGTAATGCTAAATCAGGGATCTCGCTAAGTGGACAAGTTTTGTGCGAACAGTTTGTTGTGAAGTAGTCGAGTGGGACACTATGATATGCTACATGTTTTCCTTAACCAATATAATTATGTATTATACCAATTTTCTGTTGTATTCTGAAAATTTAGTTCTTAATAATGTACTAAAATATTTATATTCGTTTATCTTCATTCTTCACACAATATATATAGGTATACTCAATAATATTGAATTAAAAAAAAATAGTTATAATATGAATAAAATTAAATGAAAAACATTAAAACAAAAAATAAAAACCCTCGAAATTCATAATGGTATAGAGGCCGGTAACGATTGATCTTAGTGGTATGCCACATGAGAGGCCTATGTCCAGAAGTGGATAAAAACGGGCTTATGATTTAACATCTATACATACCATAAAATTGTAACTAAGCCGAATCTGTACATTAAATATTTTTTTTGGAAAATCTTATTGAAATAGACATTATTGTTAATACCGAGGGCGAATCTATAGTTTTTAGAGTTTTTGTCTGCCTATCTGGTTGTCTGTGACCACAACACGGAAAAACCACTGGAGGGATTTTGATGAAATTTGGTACGATGATTGCTGGTTATTCGGGTCAACATATAGAACATTTTTTACTGCGGGAAAATATCTCATCTTTGAGAAATCTATACTTAACCTAAAAACGTCAGTAGGGGCTAACCCGAACGGAGCGAGAGTGAATCGCTAGTATATTATAAACAACCGTATTTTCAAAGTATGATTTGTTGGTTTTATATCCCAAAAGTTACATTTATACTCATTACTACTAATTTATTTGCAAAAGTTTAAATTTCTTTTAATATTCCTTTTAGTAGGAGAGAAATTGGAAATGACAGTGAGCGTCTCGTCCCAACTTCAAGTACAAGTCAACTTCAAAGTTTAACCGAAAAATTGACAATTGTATCTCAAAATATAAATACAGTACAAAATGAGGGATCGTTGTACGTGAGCGAGCGTTCGTCCCTCGTCAACCATTATCTGTTAATGAAAAGCGATTTAAGGCTATTTCATTTCGCTCTCAATCTTGTATTTCGCTTTTAGATACTAGATGCCCAGATGCCCGCAATCATAATACTAAGAAAGCTCTTAGATATTTTATTTCTACTTTATTCACAAATATGTGTCATTATATATCATATCAGTAGCTTATTTTCGCAAAATATTCTCAAGTTGAAACTGTAATTTCCATAGATATTATCCTTCTCTTATAATAATATATAGTTTTTGATAAAACTTGACAGTAACATAGCTTAAACATCAGAGTAACACATTGTATTGTATTCAGCCCTTTTTAACGTCCCACTACTGGGAACGGGCCTCCCTTCAATACGAGGGGGATCAGGCCATAGTCCACCATGCTGGACAAGTGCGGATTGGCAGACTTCATATGTCTATCGAAAGCTTGCTAGGTTCTGTCAGATATACAGGTTTCCTCACGATATTTTCCTTCATCGTAAGACAAGTGGTAAACACGTTGGAAATGATTCGCACATGAAATTATCAGGGGTGCGAGACTCGAGCTTTGAACCCGATTCACTCGATTTCCCAAGCGAGCGCTCTACCACTGGGCTACCACTGCCTTTACACAAGTAACACATAGGCTATAATTTTTAAAGATATAGTAATACATGCCGCGGGAAAACGCTAGTAGCCTATTTTTAAATATTGTATGAAATTTATATTTGTATGATTCAAAAGTTTAACAAGAAAATGAATTATTAAAAACATATTAAAACGTAAATTGCTCATAACATATAATTATTATTTATATGTTTCATATAATATGTATCTGCCAGTGAATCGATTCATTCAGTTTAATTCCCTGCTTCACAGGTTCTCGAATGCAGTAAACAATACAATAATGAAAAATGAGCTTAATTTCACACATCGTTAATATGTTATGGCATATTTATTTATACATATTATGTATAAGAATTTATAGAAGTACTTGAAACGAGTACAGGTTTTAGAATTTTTATCTATATTTGTCTGTCTGTCTGTGGTTAATCGCATAAAACCTAAGAATGCTAGACGGATTTTCTTTATCATTGGACTAGCGACTCACCCTCGCATTGCTTGGGTTCGTCGCTAGGTAGGTAAAAAACAAACAAACAAACTGCCTCTTTATAATATTTGTATAGGTATTTTTAAAGATCTTTATTTACAATTACATTATAAGTATGAAAGTAGTTATGTATGTCTGTTATCTTTTCATGCTTGAAAGGCTGAATG